GCTCTGCGAGAGTTCCAAATTGATTCTTCGTCTGGTGACACGACGCCGATGGCACAAAAGTGATCTCAAATTTGTGGATAAATCAAATTTTTTTATTAAAACCCATAGAGAGGCCCTTTGGCCTGACACGCCTGGGGGCACGGAGGTTCCCGTAAACCGCGGAGCTCCCACGCCCACGCACGCAGCCCGCACCAGGCCTCCCATTCACTCGCGGCTATTGTTAGCCTAAGCAGGTGGGGAATGTGCGCGTGCGGCTTTGCGTGAGCGCGCAGTCAGGGTGCTGGGCTTGCGTCAAGAATGCGCAGAGTTCCCCTCCTTATCGCGGCCCGCGGAGCCGTGCGGGAGTCGTCGGCCACCGCACCACTCTCCCTGTTTCGGTCCTCGCCGGGACCTGCGCTACTGCCCACTGGTCCCCGCATCCGTTCAGTCCCGCACGCTGCCTCGGCGACAGAGCGTGTCACCGACCAACCTCGGCACCCGTAACGTGACCGCAGACCCGATTTGTCTTCTCCTTCATAGGCATGCTGTTTCAAAAGCAATGGAGGTTTACAACCGAACATGTTGAGTTCAGACAGCCATTCGGTGGAGTCTACGACCACCAGATGGTAGATTCACTGGGGCTCCAACAGGGCCACTCACGTTTCAGTCATTGTCGTTTCGTTCGGTCGGATATTTTTATGACATTCCTTGCGTTGTTTCACAACGCAGTACCCACTTTGTGAGTCAAGCGGTTGTCATCTGAAGAGTCTTGCCCCCATCATAGGGATGTGGAATTTGCACCACTGGCTCAGCGGGGCTGTAACAGGAGATGAGCACCAATGAATCAAAACTCATTTGAGCAGGAAACCACTTTGGCTTTTAAAAACGTTAAAAAGGAGACCGCCAGTGGGTGGCCATAATCATGGTCATCATCGCCTCCAGCATTTCTGTAATATTCCTGCACCGTGGGCGGAAGCTCACGCGCTTGCCCCGCCGCCGCACCAACGCTCACCCACGCTGTCCTCCCAACGCCCAGGTCGCCGGGCGAACATGCCGCAGCGCATACCGGCCACATACCAGCCAGCACACTCTCGCCGCAGAAAACTGCTCAAGGGCACCCGGTGGCTCGTGCAGAAGAGCAAAACAACACAAAATGGCAAAACACTGCTGAGAAATGGTCCCGGAGACACAACGCGGCAAACTAAAAACACAAACACGGCTCCGAGACGGGGGTTTGGCTCCGGATGTGGATGTCCGTCAGGTCCCATGGGCCGTGGGAATCGTGCAACCCTCTGGGTGCTAATGAGTCCCCAGGGGCACCAGCGCTGGCTGCAGGAGAGAGAGAGAGAAGCTCCTGCCCGGCGCCAGCAGCACCAAATGCCAGGCGCCCACTGTGACACCACCCCGCCCAGCCCCCTGCCCAGCCACGGGCAAAGGGCCATGTGGCCAGGGTTTCCATGTTTTATTGTTTTAAAATGCGGCTCGTTAAAGTGTGGAGCTGTTCCAGTTGCACGGGCGTCCTCTAAACCCACCTCCAATTTGTGCCCGACGGTGAACGTCAACCTCTCCACGCCAGTGCGGCGCAGTCAACACCGCCCCCCGCCCACTACCCCCTGGCCACCCCCATCACGCTCGCAGCTTGCCTTTGTCGCGATACAATCGCCGGCCATGAGGTTGTTTGATGTTGATCTTTCTCTCGAGTTTCAGCCGCGTTTGGCAACGTCTGTTTGCTCGCACGGGCGCCGCTACTGGTTTTGTGTGGCTTGGCTCTAGATCTCTGGTACTAAACGCGAGCGCACAGAGAGACCTGGGCCACAGCATCGCGTTCCTGCTACTGCCGCCGGGAAGGTGAGGTGAGGATTGCTGTAGGTGACAGGCGAGGGGGGGAACAAGCAGGGACCAGGGAGAGAGCCATACGGGGTTAGGGGTCAAGACAGTATTGTGGATTTACACGTCGAAATGTGACTGCATATCAAGAAGCTGTACAAAAAAAGTGGCCATGTTTGTTTTGTAGCGACAAAGAGGAAGTCACGCATAAGCAGAGTAAAAAAGAATACAAAGGCTTTGAGCCAGGATTTGAACAGGGGCAAGGTGTTGACATCACGGACGGCTGGGATAAGAGAGTTTCAGAACATGCGGGCAGCAGTGGAGAATGAGCGACCTCCCACCAAGCAAAGGTCAACCGGGAGGCTTCAATAGAAAGCTTTGGTTGCTGGAGCGTAGAGAGCGCCCCGAGGGCTTTAGAGTGTGATTAGAGGAGAGAGACGTAGCCAGCGGGGAGCCCCTGGAGGATCTTGAAGACGGTGAGCGCAATCTCGTCACCGATGCGGGACCGGATTGGGAATGCGTGGCGGGGATCAGAGTATTGGGGTGGCGTGGCCTCATTTTACGTGGTTGCGGATTCGGAGACGCGAGTGGGAGCAGGGGTTCGCAGGGGGCGAGGCGACGTTCACGAACGAGGACAAACCCGGTGGGGGGGGGGGGGGTGACTGGAGGTCGGGGAGGAGCCGCTACAATCACCCACGTGCAGCCGTGGCAGCTTCAACGACTCGCCCATCAGGCGCCCCCGCGCTCCCCTTCAAATCAGAAATTCAGAGCCTGCCAAGAGAACGGAATCCCGTCTCTTCAATTTTCCAAGAGCGGCGAGCATTCTCCGACCCCCCCCCCCCCCCACCCCACCAACGTACACAGCGCAGCCATTTATTCACTGGCGGCCGGGTCGGGGGAGGGGGCCCGCCCCCCGGCTGTCGCACATATTTCCGTGGCGAGGGTGCGGCGTGCGTGGGGAGGGACAGTGTTCCACCCCGGGGACACCCCGAGTGACGGGGGAGAAACAGCTCCTCGGGACTCGGCTCACAGCACCGCAAGTGGCCAGACGCATAAACAGTCTCCCCCCTTCTCGGTTGGCTCGCCGCCCCCCCCCACCACTGGCCCTGACCCCTGACCCAACGTCATTTGAGACTGAACCATGACACTAAACCCAACTCGAGTCCTAAACTAAGCTCTTATCCTAACTCTAACCTCATCTGTGATGTAACCCTTTCTCTAAACCGTACCCTGCCACCGGCCCTCGTCCTATCTGCAACGACAGCCCCTAAACTTCTCGGTGATCTTAAACCCAACTCTCAAGCAAACCGTAAAGTTTCCTCCGAGCCAGCACCCAAAATTGTAGCCCTAAACCTATCACAGAGGAAAAAATTCTCTGTGCTAAAGCCTTAGAATTAAAATTAGCCCAAAATCCTCACACCAAACACTCCAAGATGTACTCTTAGGTTTTTTCGGTAAAGTCACGTAGGTAAAAAATATAATTAAAATTAATAAAAGTAATAATACTTGATACAGTAAATCTAGCTGTGACGGTTCCGCCTGATGACGGAGACTTGTGTTGCCTCCGAAACGTCGTGATTTATTATTTTATTTCTATTATTACTTTAATTAATTTTATTTTTTACCTACGTGACTTTACCGAAAAAAACCTAAGCGTATGAATCCTTGCAGTCACGAAAGCTTCAAATCTAGAACTCCAAGATGTACCCCGACTGAAGCGATAACCCGAGTCAAGGGCTCCAATACCCTTGCCCGCGACGACACCCAAGCATTAAAACCAACCCTGGTGTCATCTCTGGCGTGAGCTCGTACCACAGCCCTCTCTATAGCCCAGCGTCCCAACTGCACCGTCAGCCCTCACAGCGCACGCCACACGGGCAGGGCAGCGAAGCTCGGGCGAGCAGGTCACCCCCGCCGTTGTGGGGGTCAATGTCACTTGTTTGGCTCACAGCGCCACCGTGCGGCGGTGCGAGGCCAGGGGTTGCTCCGGTAGTGCAGGCACGCGACCTGCTGGCGCCAGCCTGCAACTGCAAGCGCTGCGTGCACCGAGCGGCGCTTCAGTGTAGGCCTCGGCAAGGCAAGGTAAAAACAACGAGCCTACCTTTACCCTACCTTTTATCTTACCGCAATACAATCACTCTACCCTTACCTTGTACACTTTAGCAAGGTCAGGTAAAAGGTCAAAAACAACGAGCCTACCTTCACCCTACCTTTTACCCTTTCCCCATACAAATTACCCGATTACAGGGTAATTACTGGGGTACTACGACACATGAACAAGGTTTGTATCAGGTAAACGCTACTAGGTAGAGCGCTTTATTCATATAGAATACTCTCGATGATTCCAATTTTAAATGGAGGCCAGGGACTGCGCCACGGAGCTTTTAGCGAGTGGCAAACAAGGTATTTACCGGATAATATACTTCGCGCTACCTTTACCCTACCCTTTGCCTTACCCCTTGGCATGTCGACACCCTTACTCTTTACCTTTACCCTTTTACCCGGTAAAAAGAGTAAATTACCTTGCCGAGGCCTACTTCAGTGACAATGATTGCCCACCGCCGCACTGTGTTCACTCCTCGCTCTCGGAGAGAGAGAGAACGATTCGGAGGCGCGAGGAGGAACCAGACGAGCCGGAAAGGCAGCCATACGATGAGCCAGCACAAAATTCCCTCCCCCCCAATAAAGCTCTGCAGTCCTCTACATATTAAGGTGTTATTCGCCGAGTGTTGACGTGGGAGGAAACCATATCCAGTTTCCCTCTCGCTGTGGCTACTACTGGTCAAGTGCCACCTGCTCCAGTTGAGAGGCAACCCGCAACATAATGAGTGAGAAACCAAGCCCTGCTTATAGCAACGATGACTTACATCGCTAAAATGTGCAATACGCACGTCCGAAATGGTGGGGAAATTCCCCCCAGCGCCTCCACCCCCACCACCCCCCTTGGAGGTTGCAGACGTCATGAGCAAACAACGGACAAATCTTGCCATGAACAGGACAAGAGTGGCAAGGCTCACGCCGTTCACGAGACAAAAGTGTAAGTGAACACCCCAGGTCTCCCTTTCACGAGAGATGCAGGTCAATCCAGACGGGCGAGTGAGCTGCGCCCAGGTGCAGCAGGCGTGGGTGCAGCGGGCGTGGGTGGAGTGCACGTGGGTGGAGTGCACGTGGGTGGAGCACGCGTCAACACTCACCTCCGTCTGTCCCTCGTGGGCACTCGACTCGTGACTCGCGCGGATGCTCTACGCACAGAGGGGGGCGATGTTAGCGACTCGCGCACATGGGCACATGCGGGCATGTGCATGCACACACTCGTGCAGACACACACATCCATACACACGCACGCACACATGTACACTCACGTATCCACAAACACACTCGTGCACTCGCGCGCACACACATGCTCGTGCCAGGACGGCCTGCGCAATGCTCTCAAGTGAGGCTGCGCGGAGCTTTAGAGTTATTGACGCACTCAGCTGTTGGCCTCCAATTAACGGGTGGGTGGAGGGAAGGAATTCGTTGCAAATTTTTGGCAAAACACAAATTCGCGTGAGCAGGAAATTGCGGCAATTCGGCAATATTTTTGCCAAGCGTAAACACAAACTGTCTTTCCGCCTACACAACCGGAGGGGGCTCTTTCGTTTGAAATGGCAGCATCAACATCTGGCCGTCTTCGCAATGCACAAACGAGAGCGACGCACGACTCCATCTGAACTTCGAATGCGTGCGAGAGGCGGCGGGGTCCGCCACGAGCGGTCACGCACAGCCCCCCCCCTCCACCCCCCCCCACCCCCACGTAACCCACTGGGACCGGAAGCTCGAGCGAGTCCTCAACTGCTGCGACCAGGTGGCGAATCAGATGGACAAGGATCTCTTCCACGTTCATTTGCACAAGGTTAAAAGCATGCAGACGTGCGGCAGGGTGGTGGCGCAGTGGTGGCGTAGTGGTAACGCTCGTATGTTCTCCCCCTGGTAAGCACGAGGTTTTTTTCTTCCATAGCTGAAACACCACACAATGAAACGAGTAGTGGCCAAACATCTCAATTCTGAAAGAGATACCCGCATATTGCACGGTTGGGTCCATAATAAAAGATTTTGGGTAGATCGCGTAAGTATAAATGTGTCGTAACCCTCCACCACCCAACACAGCCAATTAGTAAGGGATTTGTCACGTAAACAAAACGCCAATTAGTTACTAATTCAGCCTACCGGTGTGTTGGAGAGTAAATCCACAACATTTACAATTTGAGTACAACGTTCTGCTGGTAATTACATCCAGCATCATCGGTGGCGAAAGCCTACGTGTTATCACCCCTTACTCCGAAAACTTCGCAGGACCCTCTTAAATAACTAAGTCTTGAGACTCCGGGAAGGTTTCCTGGGTGAACGCTCGCAATTAAACATAAAGAGTCCAGACTTTGTAGTGCGGCTAATAGGTCACAGATCGTTGGGGGTATATTGGACCCGTAGGAAGATGAATCTATGAGGGGGTCTTGGCAAGGGTGCTAGACATGACAATGCCAGTCGGGTCTGTCCGGGTTGTCGACCCGCAAATAATTTCCACAACCGGCACATCACATCTAGAATACCTCTCACCATGGCTACTGTGGGCAACTGGTCATGTACCACCTACTCCAGCCCGGCAGCGACCCGAAAAACACTGCGTCAGAAACAAAGGCCTGGCACGAGCAGGCGAGCCCACCTGGTCTTGCTCGAGTCTCTCTGCTCGCTCGCTCGGACTCATGGCGGCCGTGTCGCTCAGGAACTTCTTCAGAGACGAGCCTTCCACTGCAACGACACAGCGCAGACATTGGACTCCACTGAACGCCTCTGTTAAACGGAGGGCATTAACACCACGACTGGTAGCGATGCACAGGTGCAATAACGCCTGTGTTAGGCAGCAGATTTACACACAGGGGCACGGATGTAATACGGAGGCCGTCTTGCACGGCACTCGCCCCACCGAACCATCTCAGTTGTTTTGTTGGGCCAGTGAATGTAATACTCGGACATATGCTTAGATCGTTTCAATCACCATCATTATCCATGCTCTATCCACTGCTGGGCAAAAGCCCCCATTAGTCACGCAGTGCACCAAACCCCCTGCGGCGCCGCCCCCCTCTACGTCACGGCCAGGGTGTTAAAGCGACCCCACGGGATTTGAGGCCATGGCGAGCCCCGCGCCGCTCACCGAAGCCCAGGCGGTGCTGGTTGTTGGCGATGGCGTGGATGAGGCCGATGGTTCCGCACGCGTTGCCGATCGTCTGCCGCATGAAGTAGGCCGAGGCCGGGGCGTCGTGGCCGGCCGCCCGAAGCCTCTCTTCCTCCTCGCGCCGGTGAGCCTCGTACTGCAAACACGGAGGGATGGGGAGGGGGGTGGGACCAAGGCTTGTACTAGGGGTAGTATGGGGGGTGAGCCCTGCGCCATCACCAAACATCTCTTTGCCCCCCCCCCCCAAAATTCCGTCTAGTTAGCCGTAAACCCCTGTGACGAGAGGCCGACTGAAATTCGGTTTCAAATTCGGCGCCGAAAGTTGTCAAATGGCCTCTTTCGGCATACTTTTAGTTTCAGCCGATAGTTAATTTTTAACTTTCGGCCTGGTTTCAGTTTCGGCTGAAACTGATATTGACTTTCAGTCGTCATTTGTCAACCGAAGATCTATTTTTAGAATATAATGCTAGTGCTACTACTATCACTCTGCCTATCGGCCGGTCAGTCGGCACTAGGCGATCCTATGCGATAGGCTGCAAACACACACACACACATCAGCAGCTTGGGAGCGAGGTTACAGCCGCAACCATGGTCTGCTAATGTATATACGACCGGTCAACAGACGGCAGCCTGCATCTCCATCCGTGGGTGGAGTCTCTTCGGCGGGACGACAACAAAGTGCCTCTGTTGTCTGTTCCCAGCCACCTGCCCGCCTTGGCTTATGTGTTGCGTTCGCTTCAGTCTACATGCGTGTTGATACCGAGATTCGAAGTCTGACAATTAGAGGCCGACTGAAATTCGGTTTCGGCACCAAAAGTTAGCAAATGGCCTCTTTCGGCATAGTTTCTGTTTTGGGTGAAACCAGAAATTCAGTTTCGGTTGGCCTCTACCTGTGACGGTGGCCCACGCTAAGGCTCTACCGGCTGCAATCCCCACCCCGAGAGGAGTTCGACGTGGGCCGTTGGCATGGGTGGTGGCAGGCGGTGAGGGGGGGGGGCACCTTGTCACTGATGGGGAACAGCAGCAGCACGGCGCACGTGGGGCTCGGCACCATGGCCAGCAGCTCGGCGTCCAGGCCCAGGACGTCCACGAACTGCCAGCTCGTCTTCATGCCCAGCTGCTGCACAAACTGTGGCGCACGGCAGAGGCGGCGGGCGTTTTCGCGCAGCACACGCACGATCGCGTCTCAATGAATAAAACAGCCGAGGACAACACAAAGCGTGCCGACGCCGCGAAACCCGTTCCACACCGAGGGCCCGCACGCGCCGAGTCGGCATAACGCATTGGCGCAGCAGCGGCGTCGCACTGTTGGCACAGGCCGGCCCAGATTAAGTTTGAGGGGGACCTGGGACTGTTATTGTTTTGGCGCCCCCCTCTTTAAATACTCAATGCCTTCTCTTGACTGTTTGACCACCGCCCATGCCCGACGATGCCAAACGTTTCATTGTTATTCCCTCGGTTGTTTCTGTACTGGTTTTTAATGCAACATAATTGCAGACCTAAAGCAAAGTTAAAATGAACTACCGGTAAACAATTTTTATTTCAGAACACGACTGGTAGCGATGCACAGGTGCTGCTACGGTGTTCAGCACCCAATTTCCTGAATTATCAGTGCTGGACAGTCACACCCCATTCTAGAGCAGTATATAAATTCATTTGGGGGGGACCCCTCAAAATTACAGGACCCCAGGCAGCTGCCCCCTAATGCCCATGTTGATCGGGCCCTGGTGCAAAGAATTCCACCTCCCTACACCCAACCATCTCCTTCTTTGCAGCAGGGACCAATGTGCAGTTGCACACTACTACTTACATAACCTCACAATAAAGACCACCCGTATAGTGTAGAAATAGCCTTTGCCACTTCTGGGGAAGGCGCTGTTAGTGAGCACCTACGAAGGACGGCACGGCACAAGAGAGGGTGGCCAGCACCACGCCCGGCTGCCTTTGTTTCCCCAGTGCTGGTGTTTACACACCAGATCAGGTGCTCATTTAAGGTCAAGTCGACATAGGGGAGGCCCAACACTTGTTCAGATATTGGTCACCAATGTTGGCCATGAATGGGAATCAAACATGGGTCACAGGGTTCGGAGCGCAATGCGTCAATCACTGCACTACCGTTCCCCCCTTTAAACACACACACCAACGCACATGCTCGTAATAAAGCAGGGGCTCTTGTTGCGTTAACAGGCAGCGAAGAATCACCATGTGTGGCCTACCCTCACTCATTCAAGCTCGCTGTGAACTGCCACCTAATCAGCACAAACAAATTGAGCGTGATCTACTCGGGCCCACCGGTGACCACCACACCACGATATCAAATTCACGAGACCAGTAGTGAGGACAGGGCCTGCAACTAAATCCTACCTTACATTATAGCCTCTTACTTGGGCAAGAAACAATCAATTCAGTGCTAATTGAATGAATGCCTCCCAAAGCCATCGCCGTCTCTCATTATTCTGCGATGTAACGATCCGCGTAAAACTTGCACACAAGCTGATTTCAGAGCTCCATCTCAGTGGCGCACATTCCCCTGGGCACGATGCATTCCTCGGCCGCCACACTCTGTCGTCAGTCTCGACCACGACCCTTCCAGCCAGAACACGTTCCTCCCAAGCACATTTCCTGCCACGACCACTCCATATGACGTGTCCAAATTGCATATGTTCTCTAATCCACGTTCCTCTTTCTCTATCCCAGTGTAATTCCAAGCAAGCTTAGACTTACATAGTCTAAATGCAGCTGTATCTCAAAAATATTGTTGAGTTTCTTTGTGGAGAATAAATTTGGTAATTTCCCCAACTCGTAAGAAAAATATTCCAACACGTTTGTCAATAACAATGTGGTCTTAAAAGGAAACGTATGACAAGAAAAGGTTTGGGCAACGGCCCTTCTTGATAGCCCATGAAGGGTCATTGTGCTTTGATCACAGGCCATTCCCGAAAACTTCACCACTTATAGATGTATTATTTTAAGGCCAAAGTAGTTTTATCAACAAATGCGCAGATTTGTTGTTGTTATTTGCACTTGTGCACCACTGTCGACGCAGCAGCAGCATCACCACCAGATCATTGGTCAGACTTTTAACAACGCGTGCTTCGTGCAGCAATGCTATCCTGTTCGTTCATCTGGCTTCACTACCGTGATATAAGGCTGCATAGTTTACCGCGCTGCTGTGTGCGCTGAAAAGTTGGCTTGGATAGAACGCGTCGCTAGAGGAGACGATGGCCAAGGGGTCAAGATTAACAATGGACTCGCAGCCGACGGAGGGAGCACGACCAAGAGAATGACCATAGTGGAGATGGAGCGTTGAGCTCAGTTCATGTGCAGGAGCCAGACGGATTATTGCACCGTGACACTGTGAGGGGTGGGAATGAGTTCCTTCAACAGTGGATAGATCATGGCTGCTGCTGATGGCAATGTGAAATTCACACGAAACAAATATAAGGGAGGTGAGGAGGAGGAGGCTGGGGGCGGTGGCTGGAGGAGGTGGCTGGAGCCCGCTGGGTTGCTATGCTCCACAGCTCCAGCCCGGACTGGAGGCGCCAGCACCAGTTCTCCCGCTCACCTGGTTCATCACCTGCAACACAAAAGAGGCGGTGATGGCGGTGCCCGTGCAAGGTGCAGCGCCAGACGCCACACTACACCAAGCCAATAGAGCTCGGCTCATCAGATGAATAAGTATTTGGTGATACTGCGTTGGCAGTCATGCACAAGCAAAATTAACAACTCAATCGATGACACTTCGGTCTTAAAATAAAAATCACAAGCGATATTATGCGCAATGAATCGTATTCACAGCACAGGGGCTACAGCAGAAGGGCTATGAACAACGGCCCCTTGCTTGAAACACCACATATTATGTTTGTAATTTCAAGACAGCATTTTTGACGAATGTCTTTATGGACCCACGGTCCACCGCTGGAAAACATCAACACATTTTCAGGGACCACTGCGCACCAACATCACCACATCTTTTGAAATCAAAACAATTCAAAGTGCTGTAAAATATCGAATAAAAAATGGCATTGAAACAACCAACTTATTTTGTACGACTCGCATGAATGAGACGCCTGGTGGCGTTCGATGTTTTGTGACTGTGATCGCAGAAGCATCTGCAAGTTGTGCTGCCCAACGTCCCCCCCCCCACGGCTGGGAGCCCCCACTGGTGTCTAGACACTGACGTGGCAACAACACACACGTGGTGACCACCACAGTGCCGGATTATCCTCGTAGAAAAAGTAGCTACACATGCTACGTGCCCCGCACTTTCAAGGGCCCCGCGCTAAATGCTTTCAAGCTATAAATTCTGGTTCAGTGATTCCGCACTTGCTCTATTACTATAGTACTATACTGCCTTCAACTTTTATGAACGACTGGGTGTTTAAGGTTAGCGATTTGTCGTATTATCTGGCTGTATAGCAAATGAAAAAGTACAATAATTTTACTTGGCAAGTAAAAAATTTGTGTTTTAATATTAACGTTTTATTTATATTTAGGGCCCCTTTATAACATTTGCTACAGGCCCCGCACGATCTTAATCCGGCACTGGTCCGCGAGCGATCCGGTCAGTCCAGCGCCGTTCACTCTCGCTTCAGTAATCCCAAGCCGAACACGCGTCGCAGGATTCAACACTCGGGCTAAATTCACCAATTTCGCAGCTCCAGTGCCAACAGCTCGAGGCCACGTTGAGGGTGACACCGAAGTGACAGCCACCGCCGATTGCAGCACTCAACATCTGTTTAAGGCCGTCCCTTCCCCACCAGAGGGTGTCGGGCAGAACACGACCATGCAATCGGAATTAGCAGATGAGGGCTGGAGTTGGGATCAGGGAGTTAGGGATAGAGACAGGGGGCAAGGGCTATATGGATATAGAGAGAGCGATAGAGTTGGAGATTCAGGTGAATTATTGTGTTAAAGAGATAGGGGTAAGATATAGCATCAGGGGATAAGGGTTTGTACGATTAGGTATGTGGACAGGGTTTAGAGCATGTTAGTGATCGGGTTAGGGGGATATCGTTCGGATTGGGATATTTAGGGTGTGTGAAGTTCGTGCACAGGGGTATTGGGCTAAGTACTGAAGACACTCATTTGGAGCTGGGTCAGGGGATGTGTATAAGGGGGCAAGGGATGTAGGGCGAGAGAGGCGGGCGGGTCGTGATGTGCCGATGATAACTCGTTGCTATTTAGAGCAGCGGGGAGTTTCCACCGCAGGCACCGCGCGTCGTCTTCCCAGCGTCTGAGAGCCGCCACGCTGACTGGGCAGGGCACCGCGAGTCGCAAGGCCCCTCGGGGTTCCTCCCCAAGCGCGTCGTGGCTACATGGCGCCCTCGCCATGCAGACGACGACGACGCCGCCCGCGTCAATCCCCGAGGTTGAGTACTCGTGAGGCCGCGATGGCCCCAGATCGCACGCACACCCCCAACGCGGCGGGGCCAGGGAAGGAGGCATCTTGTCTCTCTCGTCTGTGCCTCCTCACCGTGTCGACCGTGAGCTGCTGTGGCCGCAACGCCGCTCTCTCTCGTGGGCGAACAAGCGCGCGGATGTAAATCAATCTTGAACATGTCAAACACGACAAAGCGTAATGAATTAAATAACCGCCGGTGTTTTATAACCATCACTCTCATGGAGACGGGTCACTCGAAGAGTTCGCGGCGAGGGGGTCACGAGGTTCAGGTAGAGCCATCTCAAGACGCCGGGTTCGAGTCCAGCTCCAGGCACCTTGTGGGTCAGAGTTAAGGGTCGGGCACCCGAGGGGGGCGCGGTCCCGCCTCGGCATAGGATGGAGGCCCTCCTTGACCGTGGCCTCGGCCGCATTGGCCATCGTCAGGGTCCGCCTCTGGGCCGCGAACCTCGACCACGGGCACGTGAAGCGGAGACAAAGTGGGGTGGGGGCAGAGAGGGAGGGAGGGAGGGTGGGAAGGGTGGCGGGAGCGGTGTCCTCACGTCGGGGTTCGCCTCCAGGGGCAGCCACCGAGGCGCCGCGTCCTCGGCCATGGGGGTCCCCACGAGCAGACAGAAGCAGCAGAGCGGAGAGACGAGGCCGCCACCAACACCTCGAGCCAGCGCCTCCTGCTCGCGCACTCACGGCCTCCACCACTACTTATAGCCGCGGTCCCCGCCCACTCGAGCCGCTCCAGCCAATAGCAGCGCCGCCTTCGCCTGCCGGGCCGCTCCAGCCAATAGCAGCGCGGCCCCAGCAGAATTTTGGCCCCGCCCCTAACCCCAACTGCACCCGCCCTCTCGCCAGGTGGCTCCGCCTACCGTGAGGCTCCACCAATAGGATGCCGTTCTCAAGCTTGCGGGCGACCTCCCCCCCCCGCCCACTGGAGCGTCTCCGCCAATGGGGAGCCGCCTATGCGTGTGGGGGCTAGGAGAGTCTGACGTCATCGTAGCGAGACCTGGGCCCTCCCCGTGCTCGCGAAACGTGGCCCTGGTGGCCTTAATATAGGCGACGTTTCGGGCAATGCCCCTTCTCAAGTCCATTTGTAATAACAATAATATAGAGGGACCCAACACAGTGGATGATAAGAGTTGGAGACTTGCACTTGGTTACACCGTGGGGCTCGGTGAGAATGACAACACATCTTTTCTGATGAACGCTTTCGTAAATTGGCATATCAAGGTAGCTGTTGAGTACCAAACACCACCAAATGTCATTCATCTAAAATTATTCCTAAACTCATTTACATTAAAAGTCACATTGTGAAATGTGTTGGGAGATTGCATTGTGGGATGATGTGTATCTCCTCTGGCTGACATTCAGTGAGTAGGCAAATGGTGAGTCCTGGCCGATGTTTGCACAGCAGAGGGCGCTGTTTGACCACGCAGCCTGGGCACTTGACAGCTGCTGTTGTGGTGGAGGGAGCAGACACGGAGGAGGAGGCAGCGTGAAGAGAGAAGTGAGAGAGAGAGGGGAGAGGAGAGGGCGGGGCTATTGTTGAGCCATCATCAGGCGCGTGCAGCGTGTAACGAGTTGGTCAGCATGGAGAGGTGTGCCCCGCACTGTTCGAGTTGTCCTGGTTATATGAACGTTGAACTTCTTTCGCACCGTACGTGGGCAACCGTGCTAATCGGAGGAGCGTTGAGCCTGGAGCGTGCTTGGATGACCATCATGGGCACACAAACAGGTTGCCATAGGTAGCTCCGGTGGGCAGCAGCAGAGATGAGTGCAGCAAAACATCTCGTTTTTATCTTGACTTAAAGCTTTCGTGACTGCAGAAATTCCAATGATTTGGGTCTTTCGGTCAAGTCCACGTAGATAGGTTCAAAGAAAATAACAAAAAACGGCGTTTCGATCGCAGCACAAGCGGTCGTCACCGCCTTGTGTTGTTATTTTCTTTGAACCTATCCACGTGACTTTACCGAAATGCCCAAAGAATAACCTTGTTCTGCTGTACTATGCTCCCCGCCTCCACAAACGCGCTCTAACCACCGTGGTGAAGTATGGTCAAATAACCCCCAAGTGTAATTTGATGACAACATCCGTCGAAACCCGTACAGCGTGGGGATACCTCATCCAGCAGTGGAGTGACTTGTTGTTACACGGGCACTCTTATCGGACCAGCGTGGAGTAGTAGGCCAAATACCCTCCAGGAGGGGGAGGGGGGTGGTCCATAGACCTTCCTATCTTAGAGACCCTGTACCTATCAGGAACATCGGCGAGGAATTCGCAGGGCCGCGCTCTTCACATTGACACGCGCCACGAAGTCAGCACCACGACTGTTGAGTCGATCAAATATTTACGGGCACCAATTCTTGTCCACCACCCGCCGGGGCCTGTGAGCCCAGCGGCACCATAACCCCCCCCCCACCCCTTTCATTCTCTCCCCGCCACAGCCCCGCACCCTTCATGCCTCCTCCTCCTCCTCCCGCTCGGCTCTCACTCCGGAAGAAATGACATCATTCCCCGGCACGCGATATCACGGAGGAATGCCTGTCTGCACTGGGCAGTCCAGGAGGAGTGCCACGCTCCGACGTCCCAGTTTGGGTGTTCGTAGTGGGCCCGGTTGGGTGGTGGTGGTGGTGGTGCAGCGGTGAGACACTGGGCCTCACGGCAAGAAAGCCTGGGTTCGATTTTCGACTCCGGGTACTTATCCGTATGTTCTTCCTCCCCCCCCCCTGTTTTGCATGGGTTTCCTCCAGGTGCTCCGGTTTCCTTCCATGAAAAATGTAACTGGTATTTGTGAAGCATCCCAATGCTATAAAAACAATAAAGTACTGTATCTGACAATGACTACATTTGGGATTACACACACCAGCAGCAACATTGCTCCCCCACTGTAAAAACGTGGCAGGACCCTCCTGAAAGAGTATTGAGACTCAGTGAGGTTTTCCTGGCTAAAACAAGTGTAATCATTATAGTCAAGCATGACTACGTGTCTCCACGTACGAACATATTTTAGTCTACGAGTCGATTGGCTTTCCAGACCAATATTCTGTAACAAGCAAAGTCTGGACCCGTTTTCAATCTTCCGGGCCTCATCAGCAGCCAGGCTTGTTAAACAACACATGCTGCCGGGTTACCAGATGTTCATGGCAAGAGTGCTCCATCTAAAGCAGCAGCATTTGTTTAACAAGACGTGTGGGTGGGAGAGGCACTTTCAGCTCATCCAAGATGTCTGGCCAGCGTGGAAGAGAAGGCCAAATATCTTAACGGAGGGCCTCTCGTGGAAGCCCTTCAACTAGCAGTGGCGTGAGTAAGCACTGTCAGGGCTGCGCCTTCACCCCTCCTGTTCATGCATTCCTCTGTCTCGATGCAATTCCACGTATGCATCTCTCCACCCTCCTTTGCGCACTTTTGAGTTCAGAAAAACAAACCCACGGAGGGACAGATGCACGCACGCAGGTTGAAGGCATCATACCAAATGTTAACAGTGGGCTTGGGCTTGGACACGTCACGGCCGACGGTCACGAATAACAACGGAGCGGCAGCGGAGGGAGATGGAGGGATGAAATCTTCCCACGTTGTAGGATTATTGCATCACGTGCGGAGCAGTGGCGCAGTGGATGAAATAAATTAATGAATGGACCCGGTGTCCAAAGTTCTGCTCGCGACCCAAAACAGTGGCGGATATTTAAACCGGTCCTGGTGAGCCTTCCCCTAGGTAGACTCAGCCTTAAGTCAGTACCTGGTGCGGTGTGTAGACATCAGCACTGGGGAGACAAATGCGGCCTGGCGCGGTGTTGGCCACCCACCCACCGCCTCGTGTGCAGTGCCGGCTTTCATAAGTGCTCGCTAACAGCACTTGCCCCAAGAGTCCATTAAGGGTGATCCGGGGAATCTTTTGTCCGTCTTTATCATACACTGCAGGATCCGTGCGATATGTGGTGATGGCTTGACTAGCAGTAGACTGAAGATGGCTGATGATGGTTAACCATCAGAGAGATCGGCATCACGGCGTAAAATGTAATTTTTTATTCATTTCCATAGCGTTCGAGCGACAACAGGGAATGTCTGACAAGGAGACGCGACGCGGACACACGGGGGCACAGGGGGGGGGAAGCATTGATACCTATTAAATATGATACAAAATTGAGCACTTGAAAAATATATATTTATATATTAAAGTGTACAAAGTGTTACATTGTAAATGTTAAGATAGAGATGCTCTATTTAAAGGTATAAAAAAACACTTCTAATCGTAGTACTGTACAGGTTCCGAGTTAAAATAACAGTTCACTTTAGCATTTCGCAGTTTAGTACAAAAACGAACGGGAGAGCGCGTGTGCGCGATGCATCGCTGGCGACCCCGCGGCGGACAACAGGAGCCAGAGGGGGGCCGGGACCCCCCTTCCCTCCCTCCCTTCCCCCCCAGAAAGGTTCCTCTGCCAGCACCCCTCCACCCCCCTTAGCTACAAGCGACCGGCATCTCCCGCACTGCCGCCAGCCTTCGTGGTAAACTCCACTCCCTCGTGGATCTCTGCGCAGCGGCTAAGCGCCCCACGATGCTCTCTTCTGCCGGGCCGGAGCAGGTCTTTAAACCGCGCCGCGTAGCGCACGCACGTGAAATCGCTGGCAGTCCTCTGTTCAAGTCGCCATTGGCTTAGACAGGCATAGGGTTGGGGGGGGGATACAACTGGGTGCCGTGAGACCCGGGCGGGAGATTACGAGGTGGAATCGGTTGCAAGCTCCCTTAGGGGTGGCCTTTTCGCTGTGATCCGTCTTCGGGGTTTCTGGACGTGCGGGCTGAGAGTGGAGTGCCGAGTGGAGTTTCTTGGCGAGTTCCGGGGGTTGCCGTGGGCCCGCGCCGGGAGCGCTCTCAATGTTCTTGCCGTCGCAGAGGAAAAAGGAAAAAAAAAATCTAAACGCACTCCCCGTCACGTGCGGGAGGCATTTACCCCCCCCCCCCCGCGCACGACGGCACGATGCCGGCAGCGGAGTCTGACGGATGAAATGGTGACGGTGGCGGCAGCGGCCGTAGCGAGTGCGGGGCGCGGCCATGGGGCCCTCCCCGCGCATTAATCGTCGTGTTTGACGTTGTGCTTTGCATTTATTCACGACAAATAATAAATATGTTCCTCCTAAAAAAAAAACCTTACGAGCCTGCTAGATTATTTACACTGACGCGTTAATACCCGAGGAGGCACGCTGCGCGCGTGCCATGATGCACGCGGTAATACTAACGTTGCCGGCCACGGCCGCTGGCTCCTCTCAACGGTAACGGCGCTAAAACCGATCGCAGCGGATTGGAGGCCATTGTCAACACCGCTGTGGAATGGGCAAAGCCAACGCGGGACGACAATGTGGAATTGAAAAGTTTTTGATTCCAACGTTTAAAAGAAAAAAAAAAGATGCAGGTGCCGGAATACTTTGAGAAAGATCGCGAGTGCCCCGTGCAGGATGGATCTGTTGTAAGTTAGACGAGGGCTCTGCAAGAGCCACTGCAGCGGCTTGGAGCGGCCGCTTGGCCAGGATTGAGTTTCGAGGGTCAAAAGATCCTCGCTCACTTCCTCAGTTGAAAGAGCGATACCTGAAACATTCACATTTTACTGGCGAGTCCCAGTTCGTGGAGGACGACCTAAAATGTCGTCGATTTCCACCCACCTCCCCCCTCCTTTCACTTTTCCTGCAAATTCTGAACTCCGCCGCAACAGAGGCGGCCAACGTGGCGGTCCTCAACGATGGGTGGACGCCGCTCGGTCGCACCGCAGACAAGGAGGCGCGAGAGGAAAGTCCGCCAGTCCTCGTGCGTGGGGCGTAGCCCGGCCCGGAAGATCGGTGTTCTCGGCAGCACGCTGGGTCCCGCTAGTTTTGGCCGAGGATCTCCTCCAGGTCCTGCCAGTCCTCGTTGCTGCCCCCGCTGCCGCTGCCCCCGCCGCCACCGCCGCTGCCCTTCAGAAGGGAGTCCACAAAATCGGAACCTCCATTGAGACTTGCGAGGCCCGAGCCTGCCGCCCCCCCCATGCTCTCCACCGCCACGTTGCTGCATCCCCCCGAGACCCGGAAGAAACCGCCGCTGCCGCCCTGCTCGCCGTGAAGCGGCGGAAAGCTGGGCACCTGCCCCGGGGTGCCGGGGGCCGGATTGAGTCGCCCGAGGCCGGCGTGCGGTGCCGTGGAGAGGTGTGCGGGCGGCGGCCGGACCGGAAAGTTCACGGCCTGGTTGGGGAGCGGGAAGCGCTGCTGTTGAATCTGCTGAGGATGCTGCTGCCCTTGCTGGTTCTGTTGCCCCCACACGTTGTGGCCGGCCGCTGCCCGCTGACCCCGAAAGGCCGCAGGCTCGGCCGGGTGCACCAGCCGACCGGGGACCGGCACGGGCACGGGCACGGGCACAGGCACGGGCACGGGGGCGCCCGGCGTGACGGCACTCCGTACCGCGCGCACGCCGTGGCCCGACATGTTGGTACCCTGCTGCGTGGCCACCACCGGCGACGGGGGCGGCACTATTCCCATCATGCTCGGCTGCTGCTGCTGCTGGTGGTGGTGATGGAGGGGAGAGCCGTTGGGAAGAGCGTAGACAGGCGGAGGCGGCTGGCTGGCACCAGGACAATGCACCGGGGACATTTGCGTCACTGGAGAACCGATGGGCATTGAGAAGGGCTGGGTTGTGGCTAGAAAAACAAAACAAAAAGCACAATGAACGTAGATTATCATCAGCCCGTGTACATGCGAGTACAAGAGTCAGCATATATCTCTTTAATGTTTCTTTAATGTAATTGCACTATTTTTACGATCATCAGTCAAAAACACAATCTGCCCAGGCCGCCTTACGCGACAGGGAATCATTTGACGCCGATTAATGTTCGAGCGATATTTTTTTCATCTCTCACTTGACGCAGTTTGACGTCGTCCCGATTTCTATTCACTTCGTTGCTGGAACATTACTTCGTTTTGCTCTCGTCACATCTCGGTCACCCTGGTCCCCTCTTACAAATATGAGACTCCTCTAACCTGGTCTCTCTCGAGTTCTGACCCAGTGAAGCAAAGTCAACTGAAACCTGCACTACTGGATGAAAGCCTCCCCCCCACCCCCCCTAAGCCACTGCCAACATACCTCACGGCCCCGTGACGCAACACACATTTGTACACACACAGGCACGCAAACAAAGATCCCCCTGTATAGCTTTAACGGACTTTTGGAGCAAGTGCTGTTAGCGAGCACCTATGAAAGCCGGCACGGCGGAGGGTGTCCAGTATCACGCCCGGCTGCCTTTGTGTCCCTAGTGACGATGTTTACACACGCCACCCCAGGTACTAATTTCTTGAGGCCGAGTCGACCTAGGGGAGGCCCAGGACAGGTTCAGATAATTGTCATTGGTGTCGACCATGAGCGGGAATCGAACTCGGGTCACCGGGTTCGTAGCGCAGCGCGGTAACCGCTACACTACCGCTCCCCACATTTGTGCACACAGACACACGCAAAAAAAGACAATGTTCCCCGGTATAGCCTTAACAGACTGTAGGGGAAAGTGCTGTTAGCGAGCACACACACGCACGCACGTCTATGCTCCCTAGGGCCGTGCCACCATTGGCGGGGAGGAGGGTACCTGGGTACGAGTTGGCTGGCACTGCCATGGGCTGGTCCTTGTACTCCGGGGGTGGCCGCGTCAGGTGCCTGTGCAGCTGTTGATTTTCCTGAAGAAAAAAACAATATTTATCGATATGAAATTAGTTTTTGTGTCTGGATTCTGGGTGTTGTTGGTGCCACACGGTGGTGGAACGCTTACCCCATTCGATCTCTCGGCACGACAGTTGAAACAGTGGAGCAAGTTCTTAAATCCCCGCTTCCCCGCCTCTGTCGACCCAGCAGCACGAATTGGTTAAACGTCGTTAGTCGATGGACAGGTCGCGAGTGGTGGGGTAAAGTGTGGGTACTCCCCACCTCTTCTGAGAGACGTCGGTCGAATACCCTCTAGAGCTCCCTCTAGTGGAGGCCTTTCTTCAGGGAATGGGGCGAGCAAGCAACTGCACGGCTGCCCCCTGCACCTGAGATTCTCTCCGGGACCTGGGTTTCGTGTCGAGGTTCTACCTCTTGACCGTGCGTTACGCCCCGAGCCGCCGTCACGCTCTCTCACCATTAACTGCTGGTGGATGAGCTCGCGTTTCTGCTCCGTGGCGTTGAGGCCGGGCAGGGTGGCCGCCAGCCGGTTGCCAGGGAAACCGGGCCCTGGGGAAGGCTTCAGGCTCAGGCCGCCCACCACCTTCTCCTGCCGGCACAGGAGGGAAGCGACGGTCAGGTGTGTAGGGCAGCAAGGTTGCGGTCGGGGCGGCAAGAGAAGTCACGCGTGCGCGGAGGGCACGGCAAGGCCGAACGATGCCGAAAAATGTGGGCCCTCATCGTGAGAGTGGGGCCATGCACATGCCTCCACCACCATTGCAGCCACTCGCTACACCGGGGCTGGGGGCCTACGATCACGGGCTGGACGCGACCCACCGCTTCATTTCGTACAGCCCCATTCAATCATTGCACAGATCCCGCGGCCACGTGGGGCCTACCTCTTCGAAACAGCTCACAAAAATGTTTTATCCATTGCTGCAAGCATCGTAGCTGCACTAAATCGGGCAGCAGAGGGGGGAATATTTTAGAACCGACAACGCGGCGTGGATACCGCGAGCGCCACACTCGGTCACTTCCGTTCCTGCAAGGGGCGACTTGCAGAGATGGAGGTCACCGAGCTGCGTGTGCCGTGTGGTTAGAGAGAGAGTCCCGTCCGGCCCGAGGTGAGGACGTGGATTCCCCCCCCGCCCCCACCCCGCACAGGCTCTGAACTTGGTTTGGCTCTCCGTGAGAAAAAACATCGGAGCAGCGGTAAAACTCCCGAAAAAAACCGCGAGCGCTAAAACCTCACAGATGCGACCCTGCACACGGGAGAGCCGCGGGGTCAGCCCGGACCGTGGGCCAACTGCAGAGGGCAGCAGTGGCGACAGCAGCCACTGGGCAGCTGCTCCCGCTGCTGCTGCTGCCGCCTTCCAAGGAGCGCCGTGCAGGTGCAAGGAAACGTAAAACAGAGTCGCCACCCTCCCCCACAGCCGGCCCGGGGCCCCCCGCCATCATTACCGCGTCACCCCAAAGCACCCAGCCCTTCCCCACCGCTCGCCGCCTCGCCCCCCCCCCCCCCCCCCCCCCGCGAGCCGCCTCTACCACCACACTTCCTCTCCCTTCCCCGCTCGCCCAGGCGTACCCTCCCGCCTCCCTCCCCCTCGATCCCATCCTCCCTCCATATAAACCCCGATCACCCCTACACGGCACCCCCGGCCACGCTCGCCAGCCCGCCCATCACAACGACCACCGCCCCCGCGCCCCTTCCACCGCTCTTCCCCCCCGCCCCTCCCCATCCTCCGGCAGCGCTCCTTCCCAATGCGAGCCAGGAGGCGGCTGACAGCGATCCGGGTTTCTGGCCGATTGGAAACACATGTCGTTTCCGCAGCGCCACCGCGGCGAGATATCTCGGCGAAACGGAAGCCTTCTGGCCGCTACGCAAACCCCGCCGCCACCGGCACCGCCCCCCACCACCCACCGCCGCCACTGCCCCCGCCACCGTCCCCCTGAAGCCGCCGTGGAGGAGCAGGGGGGCGCGGGGAAGAAGAAACCGCGTGCCTCGACTCAGCAGGGCGGGTCGCCCAGACGCGCGCCATCGTCCCGCCCTCGTCGCTCCGACCTCACCCGAGATCAGTTTGACTCCGATTGTGGGAGAGCGGGGAGAGCAAGGTGTGTGCGTGCCGGTGAACGGGGGAGCTTGCCAACCCCCGTGGGACCTGGGCGGCTGCCCAAGCATCATACGCCGCCTCCCGGTCTGGACCCACAGACTCACGCAGGGACCCACAGACTTGCGCAGTCTAATGAGTTGATGGTCTGAACAAAAAAATAAAATAAACCCTATTACCTTAAATGCGTTCTGCTCTGAGAATTCAAATATTGGCTTTACAGTCACGTGACGAGCATTGCTCTCATGTGTCACAGTGAGCAGGGATGTGTTACCCTCTACCGTGCGTGGACCGGAGGTCACTTAAAAAGAAGGGATCTCAGAAGTAGCTCTGTGACATTCGCTTCTGTGAGCCCTCCTCTGGCCGCCACTGCTCTCACAGAGATTTCCGAACAAAGTCCTCGGCTGGTGACATCGATAGCAGCGATCGGTGTACAATTTGGGGGCGGTGGGGTGGGGGGTTGACAACAAAATCAATCTGCAGAGTCAGCAACCGTGCAAAGGGTAAAGATTTAATTGGAACAAAAGCTGCGACACTCCGATCCACTTCTGCACTCTGCCGAACGCGGCGGGAACGCCGTGGTGGTGGCGGCGATGGCGGTAGTGTACGCAGCCACGGCCGAAACTCAGAGCACAAAAATGGCCGAGGGGAAACCCGCGCTGCTGGAGACGCGAGTTCCGTCAACATTAAACATTTATAAACGAGCATCAGTGTTTTGCATTTGCCGCCAGAGCTGTTTGGGCCTGTGTGTCCGTCTGCCTGCGCGTCTGTGAGAGCGAGCGTGTCTGTGAGAGCGTGTCTTTGTCTCGCGCTCGCCTACGCACAAGTGCCTGCGCGTGTGTCGACTCAGCCTCAAATGAGTACCTGGTGCGGTGTGTAAACATCGCCACTGGGGAGACAGAAAGCGGCCGGCAGTAACGCAGCCCACCCACCCCCTCCGTGTTTTGTGCCGGCCTTCATGGGTGCTCGATAACAGCACTTGGGCCAAAAAGTCTGTTAAGACTAAACAGCGGATCTTTGTCCTGTAGGAAAGTATGTGTTGGATAGAGGGGGCTAAACGGGCGTGGGATGGGCTAGAGAAGAGGTGGGGCTGTTCCTCCTAATCCCAACCCTGTCCCTCAACTCAACCCTAACCACTAAACCCAACCCTCATGCTCATCATGACCCTAACACACTACAACCTTAACCCAAATCCCGACCAGATCCAAAATCACTCCCCTAACTCGAACCGTGTGTGCAGCTCCCCGTCAATCCACTGCTGGATGAAGGCCTCCCCAACGCGGTGCCATTCATGGGACTCGTTTGACCGTACTTCACTGTAGTGGTCAGTGCACAGCAACCCTCAATGTCCACCCGTCCCCCCCTCATCCCCTCGTCCCCGTCATCCCCTCGTCCTCCCCATCATCCCCTCGTCCCCCACCCCTCATCCCCTTGTCCCCCCCCCCTCATCCCCTCATCCTCCCCCTCATCCCCTCGCCGCCATCTCCCACAAACACAGGGAGCAGCAGCAGCAGCGCCGAGGCCTCTGGCTGCTGGATCCGTCAGGAGGCGTCGCATTGACCCAAACAAAATCAATTCTCCTGCATTATTGAGCTGCCGCTGCAGCGAGCGGCTCCAGGGCAGCCAGCGGTGGGGGCGGGGGTGTGGGGGGGGGGGCTCATGGGGGGAGCTGTCATGACAGCCGAGTCCGGGGGGGGGGGGGGTCGGGGTTCCTGAGGTTCAATGAGGTTTGGGCGGAGGTGGGGGGAATCGAGTTCATGAAGAGGAGGAGCAGGGAGGGTTGGCGAGGGGAGGCGAGGGGAGGGGAGATCCCCCCCCCTCCGCCCCCCGGGACATAGGGTGGGCCCCCCTGTGCACGCTGCCAAATAAGACCCTGAGCAGATGAGGGGGCAAAGGGCAAGGGCTTGGGTGGATGGTGGTGGGGGGGGGGGAAGAGGGGGTGAATTCAGTGTCAGAGTGCAAAGGAGTACAGTGTCAGGAATAGGGGGTGTGTCCAGTGTCAGCAATAGGGAGGGGGTGGGCAGTGTGCGGTGTCAGGAATAGGGGGGGGTGTGAGGGGGTGCGTGAGGAAGTGTGGGGGGGGGTGTCGTTGTTTCACTTGGCAGCGCGCGTTTGTGACGTGCGCACGCAACAAGACAAAGCTCCTCCACCCCCCTCCCATGTAGCCCACACAGGCTGCCAGGGAAAATGCTCTCGGAGGTGTGGGCTAGACCTCGCCCGGTCGCCTTTGTCTCCCCCCCAGTGCTGATGGTACTAATTTAAGGGCGAGTAGGCCTAGGCGGCGGGGGGACCCCGTGATCGGTGCAGATATTCTCGCCACTGATGTCGGCTACGGGCGGGTTGTCGAACCTGGGCCGCCGGCTTCGGAGCGCAGCGACGCTAACCACTGCGCCACCCCCGCTCCACACCTAACTTGTCACTATATACACGCGTGTGTGTGTGTGTGTATAGTGACACGCGCACGCTGACACGCGTGCACCCCGCGTGTATAAATAGGGTCCGGATGCACATCTGAGGTGCAATCGCCTGCGACGGATGCTGCCCTGGAGGAGCGAGAGGCCCCGCGTTGACGTTCAGGATGAGCTCAGCTGTGCCTATGAATACCCCCCCCCCCGCCCCGTGACGGCGCCTTGCCCCGAGATGCGACTCCACCCCACTCACCTCGCTCACCTCCCCCTCACCTATTGACCCCACTCACTCGCCCACCGAGTTCTCCAAGTGAATCGGCGGACTTGGCGCCGTACGACGCGCGGCCCTCGCCGAGGGCCCTCGGAACCCTCCATGGTCGCACGGGCGCAGCGGCCAGGAGAGAGCCGCGTCGCGCGGGGAGAACACCGACTCCCCGTGGCCCTCACGAGCCCCGGCTGGGCCGCACGGCACCATCTCGCCGGAGCCGCTCGCTCGCTCCGCCGGGCGCCTCCTTGTAAAGAGAGCGCTCTGTGCGTTCCGGAATGAGTCGCCTGTTCCAAGGCCCCGCGCGCTCGCGAGCCGTGGCGGCGGCGGCGGCGGCGCTGGTGGGTATTTTTAGCGCCCGCGCACCACCACTTCTCGTTCGCGCGAGCGACTCGCCCCCGCCCGCGTTTCCTCCCGGCCGAGCTGCGCGCGGAACTTTCCTGTGCCCGTGGAATCGCGCTAATTTTGACCGCGCTCACGACGCACTCTCCGGGACCCTGCGGCGGCCGGCAGTGACGGTGCGGTGCGGTGCCGAGGGGCTCGGGGGGATGGCGATGGTTTGTGGAATTGGGAGTGGGGAAAGTCGGCCGCAGGCGGTGTTCGTTTCAGCGGCCGTCACGGCCACGGCAAGCGAGCGGCACCACGACGAGTGGCGGTGGTGCTGGTTGTGGTTATGCTCGGGAGCAAAGATTTCCCCGTGTCGAGGCGGGCCCTGCTGCATTACGCCGTGCCACAATGTGCCACACCAGGCCACACAAACGAGACCGCTATGAACTTTAAACAACACTGAACCTCGGTTTGGTTAATCTGGTGCGGTCAAATCCACAAACAGAGTGGCCCATTAATCGGAAGGTCATCGCGACCAAGGCCATCCAATGCCTCCGCACCTCGCCATCGCTTCTTTCCTTCTGCTAAATCACGCAGCCGTGACAGAGTTGGCATTTGACCTCCAAGGTCGCCAACCACAGTCTCATCATCATCACCGCCGCCATCTGCCGTGAGGCCTTCCCCTTGGTCGGCGACCTCCTGGATGCCACTGCGATGCCCGCCTGCCCTCCTCCTCCACCCCGCACACCACGTGCGTCCCACCCATCGTCACGACCTCCTCGCCCTCTTGACGACATCGACAAGGAGCTCCTGCCACCTTCGGATCGTGCAAGTTCCTTGCCCTGTTCCCACTAGCCCACGTGTCCTTCCCATCACCTCCACGGTCTACCCAAATCTTTCCAACACCGCGTGCATAATTAGATACAGAATGGCATTAGAACGAAGGGAGGGATAAGAGGCTGCATATTCTTCAAGGAGAAAGTGGGAATGAGAGGGAGGGGGGGTAGAGGGAGTGAGAGGGGGAGAGAGATGGGGGGGGTAGATAGGGGGGCCGTGAGCATGCGTGTGAGTAAGCGAGCCACTCTGGGAGTTACACAAGCGCCGTGATTCAGACGGCCGTTGCGAGAGGGAGAGTGGGAGGGAGAGAGAGAGGGAAGGAGAGAGAGAGTTGGTGAGAGATGGGGAGAGAGAGAGAGAGGGGGCGAGGGAAAAAGGGCGAGGGGGAGATGCTTCTGGGGTAACGTAACATTCTGCCACGACTTCGCTCCGCCGCCAAATATGGGCGAATCGAGACGATGACGACGATGATGAGGGCCAAGAGGGGGGGGGGGGGGGGATAAAATTATAAAATTTCCAGCACCAGTGGCGGCGGAAGCGGCACGGGGAGGAGAGGGCGACGCCAGCGCCGGGTGGGTGGAGTGCCAAGCGAGGTGGGTGCCAGCCCCGGCCCGGTTTGCCAGCGACGCCAAACCATGGCGGTGCGCCGGCAAGACAACCGCCCTGTGGCTGAACCTCCTCGGCACGCTTGCGGCCCAAGGCTTTGTTTCACACCGAAGGTGGCGCGTGACCAGTAGCAGGCACGGCCATCGCGAGCGGTGTCATGCCGGATGTGGTGTGCCGGGTGTGGAAATATTTGCCAGGCTGCCGGCTCGGACGGAGCCGGCACGACGATGCAGCGTCCACACTTCACATGCGCGTGTTGCTTTTGGCGTGCGTGCGCGACGAGTGCACTGGTCATCTCCGTCCGTCACACCCATAGCATCGGGGGGGGTCTGTGCCCTGACCTGCTTGCCAGTAGCGAGCCTGGCACGCTTTACACCGCCTCAAAGTGCACCTAGCTTGGCACAATCGCCACTGCGACGTCACTGCCGAGTGAAGGCAAACGGTGGCGGCTGTTGTTGTTGCGCGCGAATACCGAGCACATGAGTGCGTGAGTGCGTGAGTGCGTGTGTGCGTGTGTGCGTGTGTGCACGTGTGTACGTGCGTGTGCGAGTGCGTGTGTGTGTGCGTGCTTGAGTCAGCGCCCTCACCTGCGCTCCGGGCTGGTACTGTGCGCCGAGCCGTGCCGCCAGCTCCCCCCCGCCCAGCCCCCCCTGCTCCAGCACGCGGCGCAGCAGCAAGCGGCGCACCTCGGGCGCCGTGCGCGCCCGCGCGGGCTGCCTGGCGCCGGCGTCGTGAGGGTAGAATCCTCCGCTCCCCGGTGCCGCCACGGTGCCCGGCATCGCAGGGGGAGGCCCAGCTCCCGCCGCGGCCGCCGCGGCCGCCGCAGCCGCGGCCGCCGCCACCCCTCGCGCCTCCTCTCCGTCGGGATCAAAGTGCGTGAGCGGCTTGGTGTCGCCGTAGGACAGGGCGCCGGCCGTCACGTTGGGGCAGCCCTCGTGGGGCCGCGCGATCGCAGCACCGCCGCCGCCGCCCTTGTGCCCGAGCGGAGCGGCGTGGCCGCCCTGCGAGGGGGGCGTGGCGGGGCCAGCGCCGGCGGCCGCGTTGACCGGTGCCGGCGGCCCCGGCGCGTGCCCGCAGCCCGGCGACACCACGCCCTCCGCCCCGCGAGGCGCGGGCATCTGGCCGGGAAGTGCGACCGGCAGGTGGTGCTGCTGCTGCTGCTGCGGTGCTGCGGGTGCTGCGGGTGCTGCGGGTGCTGGTGGTGGTGCCGGTGGTGGTTGTGGTTGGCCTGACTGGCGGCGCCGGGCGGCGTGCGGTTGGGCTGCGCCGCGTGGCTGGCGGGCGAGGGGCTCGCTCGTCCCGGCTGCGCCACGTGGCCCGTGGGGCCGGGCCGCGATGGCGCCATCGCGTGGCCGCTGGCGCTCACCTTGGGCCGATCGGCGTCGTAGGCCGGCGATGAGCGAGGGCCTCCCCGAGCCGGCGCCGACGGCGGCCACCCGCACGACGGGCCACCTTGTACCGGCAGCTGTCCCTTAACTCCCTGCTGCTGCTGCTGGTGCTGTTGCTGTTGCTGCTGCACATGCCTTGCTACTGCCTGCTGCTGAAACGGAGGCACGCCCTGGTAGTTCATGGGTGCCTGTAGACGGGACGCAAACGACATGTTCATGCCCAGCTGCTGATGCTGCTGATGCTGCTGCTGCTGAATGTGGTTGTGGTGCGCGTGGTGGTGCGCGGGCGGCGCCGTCTGCGGGGGGAAGCGCGCCGCCTGCGTGGGCTGCTGCTGCGAGGGCGGCGAGGCCACGACGGGAGACGGTGCCGTGCGGCCCTGCGCGTGGAGGGGCGACCCGGCGTGCGCGTGGAGGGGCGACCCGGCGTGCGCGTGGAGGGGCGACCCGGCGCCGGCGGAGCCGTGGCAGCTCGGCGACATCTCGCGCTTCACCACCAGCGTGCCGAGCGCCGCCGCCGCCGCTTTGTCGTCGCGGCACCGGGCGGCGCCGTGCTCCGCCGGCCCGGCGCACCGCTCCAGCTTGAGGAAGTGTTTATGGTCCTCCTCCTCCACGGGCGGCGGCCGCTCGTCGTCCCCGTTGAGCGCCGGTCGCCCAAAATCGAAGGCCTCCTTTGTGTCGCCCTTGGCCAGCTCCCGCTCCAGCTCCTCGAGGATGAACTCCAGCTCCTGGTCGACCTCCGAGGGGACGCCGCAACCGGGCGCGCCGCCCCCGCCGCCGCGCTTGGCGTCGTCGTCGTCGACGGAGCAGAACGCTCCGTCCCGCGGCTCCACCTTGAGCGCCGTGCCGACGCCGCCGTCCTGCAGCACGGTGACGGTGGTGTGGATGGTTTTGCGCGAGCGGTCGCCCGTGACGCAGTGGGTCACCGACACCGCCGTGCCGCAGTGCTGGACGCCGCCGCCGCCGTAGCGGCCGTGCGACGGCGCCGGGAGCGGCACGCAGTGCTGCCGGGCGTGCTGGGGGTGCGGCGGCAGCGGGTGCCGGAGGGGGGCGGACAGCGGGGACCCCGCGTGGGCCCCGTGCGGGCCGCCGCCGCCCCCGCCGTCACCGCGCGCGCGCTTGGGGCCCGGCGGGGCGCAGTCGTAGGAAGAGCCGTTGGCGCGGTCGCCGTAGTCGCTCTCCTCCAGGCGCCGTTTCAGCTGCTCCTGCAGCTGCAGCGATGGGAGAGATGCACGGGCGTCACGCGCACACGTCATGCACACGTCACAATGCACACGACGACCCCAAGGTGCACGTTCCGCACACGTCACGCAAGTTCTCTCTCTCTCTGTGAACCGTGTCCTTTCTCAAACACATCGGTGATCACGGCCTTCCGCCTTCCAACCAGCTCTGCCCATGATATTGATTCCCAGTTGCATCTAATTGTTAAAATTGCTTATACAGTTCAACTTCATTCGCTCTCTTCCCTGGCTTCCGGTTTTAGCTATAACCTTCCCAGTCCAAGAATTTGTCGTCTTTTTTTCTTCCTCATTAGACGTCCAGGTATAATGCTGGACACGGTGTGCCAGGTGCGGAAATATTTTCTTGGTTTTCAAAGCCAGATAGACTCGGCTGACATTAACCTCCGCACACTTGGCGGTGCGACAGCTTCCCTGCTAGACGTGGCAGTGTAGAGCACAAAGGCAAAGATCCCCAGATATAGCTTTAACAGACTGTTGGGGCAAGTGCTGTTAGCCAGTAAAGGCCGGCACTGTGGCACACGAGGATGGGGGTGGTGGTGTGGCCAACACCACACCCGGTCGCCTTTGTCTCCCCAATGGCGATGTTTACACACCGCACCAGGTACTAATTTGAGGCAGAGTCAACCTAGGGGTAGGCCCAGGACCGGTTCAGATAATCGTCACTGGTTTTGGCCGTGAGTGGGAAGCGAACTCGGGTCGCTGGGTTCATAGCGCAGCGTAGCGCTAACCGCTACACTACACCCTCCCAGACTGACACACAAAAGACGAAGATCCTCCATATAGCCTTAACAGACTGCTGGGGCAAGTGCCGTTGGCGAGAACCTATGAAGGCCGGCGCGGCACACGAGGGGGGGTGGGTGGCCAAGACCACGCCCGGCACACGTGTGCACATGGACTGAGACACGCATACAAAGACAAAGACGCGCACACACCGAGACGCAGCACGCACGCGCGGAACGATCCCCCACGCTGCGCGCTGTACAAAGCCCAATTCACCTGCACCGTGCCCGCCGAGCATTTACGATCGTTAATATTTCACGAGCGGATCCCGCAGGGATCCTTAAACGCAAGAGGAACGTCTGCCGAAACATTCGGCGCGAGAGCATCTGTTTCATTCCGCCGGCAAAAAAAATCCATGTCTCTGCGCTTTTAATAGCGTGTATGTGCGTGTGTGTGCATGTGTGTGCGTGTGTGCGATGAGTGCGTGTTGATGTGCGTGCGCACTGATGTGCGTGGCGTGTCTGCACGTGTGCGTGTAAGATCATGCGTGTGCATTCCTGCATGCGGTGTGTGTGCGGTGTGTGTGCGGTGTGTGCGGTGTGTGCACGGTGTGTGTGCGTGCGTGTGCGTGACAACAACGAGCGGAGCGCCGGGTGGCTAAAGCACAGCAAGTCGGCACAGTAGGGGGCACAGGTGGTGCATCAGCCAGTCATCTCGGGCATCTCGGTCAGTCGACCCGTGGCACCTGGGTCTGCCCTGTGACCTCCTGCCAGCTGGCTTTCGACACTTCACGTGGCCTCAAGGTGCACTTGGCCTGGCACAAGCATCGTGGTGACGTCACCGCCACTTAGTGGCGAATGGCGGTTGTTGTTGTTGTTGTTGTTGTGACGGGTTACACAAAGTGCTTGAGTAACATGTGCATAAATTTCGATTTAAAGCTTTCGTGACTGCAGGGATTCATCTTCTTGGTTCTTTCGGTAAAGTCACGTAGAAGGGAAGTAATAAAATAATAAAAATAAAACATAATAAAATAAAATAATTCTCCCGACGTTTCGGCTACAACGCAAGCAGCCGTCTTCAGGTGAAGAATGAGACACTATAAGCTGCTAGCTTGGCAGTGCTAGCTTGGCAGTGTAAAGTCACGTAGAAGGGAAGTAATAAAATAATAAAAATAAAACATAATAAAATAAAATACTTCTCACGACGTTTCGGCTACAACGCAAGCAGCCGTCTTCAGGTGAAGAATGAGACACTATAAGCTGCTAGCTTGGCAGTGTCTCATTCTTCACCTGAAGACGGCTGCTTGCGTTGTAGCCGAAACGTCGTGAGAATTATTTTATTTTATTATGTTTTATTTTTATTATTTTATTACTTCCCTTCTACGTGACTTTACCGAAAGAACCAAGAAGATAACATGCGCATGTTGTGCATGTGTTGAGTGCGCGCGTATGTGTGTGCTGTGCTGTGTGTGATGTGTGTGCTGCGCTTGCGTGTGTATTGAATGCCTGTGTTGGGACTAAAGTCTGTATGTGCTGCGCTTAGACTTATCTATGCGTCCGAGTGTGTGCACGTATGTCTTCGTTTTGTCTATATCCACTGTGTGCTTACCGCTAAACTACGTTACGAACCCGGCGACCTGAGTTCAATTCCCGATCACCAACAACATCAGGTGATGAATATTTGAACCAGGCCGTGGGCCTCCACTCTGTCGACTCAGCTTCAAAGAATTACTTGGCACGGCCGGGCGTGGTGCTGGCCGTGCTGGTCTTAACAGTTTGCTCACTAACAGCATTTGCTCCGAAACGATGTTCAGGCTATACAGGGAACAACCTTTGTCTTTGCATCCAGCGTACAGACAAGACGTACCCTTCCCACACGCGCACGCTCGCGTGAGGACGCACGCGTGGGGGAGGCAAAGGGGGGGGGGAACGTGCATCTGAGCGATTCCCCTGTCAATATCTCTCTCCTAATGGCTTCTCGCGGCTGCGCCACACGGGACCAACCCTCCATCCCCATCGCGGCTCCGTGGCGACGGCGGCGGAGAAGGAGGCAACGTCTCTGACCTCCATTATCCTCCAGTGGCTGGACCCAGGCCTTGACCCCCCCCCCCCGAGCCTTTATCGAACCAGTTAAACACCAGGCACCGGGCAGTGCACCAGGAGGTTTGAGGAACAGTTCGTGACCCTCGGTGGAGCCACAGAGCGCTGCCCCTGGCTGCCGGCCCGGTTCCCGCCGGTTGCCCCTTCTGCCCGCGCGCCCCCATCCCTGCCTTCGAAGGGCCCCGCGCTACCGAGGGCGGCCGAGGGCCTCCGCCGTGAGCGACGGGTGGGCGGGACGGGGAGGGCCGTGGTTCTGACTGGCGGCCCGGGGGGCAGGCAACGGAGCAATGGAGACGCGCCAACACCGCCAGCCAAACGGGAGTCGGGGTGGGGGGGTAACGAACGCTCCCCCTTTCCAGGACGTCGCGATACCGGGAGAAGTCCACCGACATCGCTGCCCCCCCCCCCGCCCCCCGCTGCGAGCGGAGGAGCTTCCCGCTCCATAAGGCTCAACAACGCTCCCGGGTGTTCCTTCCGCTGCGCGGGTCGTGCAGTTGAGTGCAGACGGGTCGCCCTGCGTGGACCAGGCGGGGGAGGGGGTGGGGTGAGGCGCACCGCATTGCTTTTCCAGGGAGACCTGGGCCGTGTCATCAGCCCAGCAGTGCAGGTGCCACACAAGGAGACCGCACGCAGGGGACCAATCCCATTCGAGGGCAGAGAAAGCGAACGCACGTCCAGTGCACCCATTACGCCAGTAGTTTGCCGATCATCGGCCATGATCAAACCACTGCTAGATGTGTTGAGCACGGCTGTGTCACAAGCAATTTCAATCACTGGGGGGGTCTCACGCTCCACGGGATCGGCCGAGACGCGTGAAGGGGCCCTCCGCTGGCGGCCGAGGCACAGGAGGGCGAATTCCGCACATTCTTTATCGTCTCGATGCGGCGCCGGTTCCCACCGGGAGCCGCGTTGCCCCCGCGTGATGCCGTGAGCGTGAGCGCTCTCTCTCTCCTAACTCTCTCCCCTGTGCACCACACGTGCTGCCAACAAGCCATGGGTGATGAGTTAGAACACAAACACAGAGCCCCTCACACTCGCTCATACTCCTCAGTGGCCAAGTGTGGTGTGTATGAACCCCGGTGCAAGGAATTAAATGCCCCACGTGCCCCCCACCACTCCCCCCCCCCCCCCGAAGTCCGGTGCCAGGGACCCTTCGGCCTATGGGGCCGGCACACATTAAAGGTACCACGCTCTCACGCAAACGTCTCCTGCCACCCCCACTCCACAACCACACCGCGACACGACACCTAAATGGCTTCCTCTCTTTGTTTGCCATCATATGGGCATTCCACCATGGGCTCAGGTGCCAGCGAGCGAGTGTCATCCCCGCCGCGTCGCTCGTAATAGGGAGGCACTTTTCTTGGTAATGTGCGACTCGGCAACTGGGACGACGCCACGCGCTTCTCTCTCGCCGTGTGGTGAGAGTGGAGATATCAGCACCACCACCAGCAACACCACCACTATCACCCACAACACCACCATGATCAGCAGCATCAGCAACGCCAGCGTCAGCACCAGCAGAATCAATTCCCGGCCGTGTGTGCGTGGGGTTTAGGTCGGGTCTTGGAGACAGCCCTCGCGAGTAAAACTCAGAGGCCGTTGACGTTGGCTCAGAGCACACACGGAGGAGTGTGCACTCACCGCGAGGAACTGTACACACAGCGCCCGGCCACCTCTGCCTCCACAATTCAAAAGTCCTACACATCACACCAGGGACTTGAATAAGACCGAATTAACCTAAGGGAGGCCCAGGACTGGTTCAGATTACCGATCACAGATGTTGCGGTGCGAACGAGGCAGAGTGCCGTGAACCGCTGCGCAACCACCCCGACCCGCACCGCACCACGCTGCTCCAATGTTGCCAGTCCCACGCCGTCATCATCACCGCCAGGGGGGGGGGGGGGGGGGGGAGGAGTCTCGTTACCAATAAACAATCGGTCGCCCGTCAACTTGGGAGCGGTTCTCTTTTTGGATGCGCAGTTTTGTCCGCTGGGTTTTTTTTATTTTATTCAGTTTTTCTTTCCCCGATTTTAGTGACGGTGTGTTCGTGTTTAAAAGGCGTTTGCATGCATGTGGGGAGCGTGTGGTGGTTAGCGAGCTGCGCTACAAACCCAGCGACACGAGTTTGATTCCCGCTAACCGCCAACACGG